CCCGCCAGTCTGTGCTCGCCGAGCGCCCGTCAGTGTGTGCTGTGATCGGAATCGCGAGTGGTAGTGCCTTGTTCGTATCCCTGAGTCTCACAGGATTTCGTACGAGAAAAAAATCGTAAGTCCTCGCCACATGTTGCATGCTTTTCTCCCGTTTTTGGACCGTATTCGTCTACCAGCTCGTTTTTCGGTTGTGGATTTTCGTCTGCGAAAGCTCTCAATGAGATTTTGAGGATTTTCGGAAAAGCAGGATTTTTCCTTCTTTGCCACATGTCGCATGCTTTTCTCCCGTTTTTGGACTGTATTCGTCCACCAGCTCGTTTTTCTTTTGTGGATTTTCGTCTGTAAAAGCTCTCAATGAGATTTTGAAGATTTTTGGAAAAACTGGATTTTTCCTTCTTTTTTGGAGGTTTTTAAGGGGGAGATTTGGATGATCTAAGTGGCATTTTAAGTTTCCCAAAAATGTAGGATCTTCGTTTTTCCTATTAGAGTTTTTGTGCGTGAAAGCTCTAAATGGTTTTTTTTAGGATTTTCGTAAAAAAACAGGCTCTGCAGTGCATGCTTTTCTCCCGTTTTTGGACCGTACTTGTCCACCAGCTCGTTTTCCTTTTGTGGGTTTTCGTCTATGAAAGCTCTCAATGAGATTTTGAGGATTTTCGGAAAAGTAGGATTTTTCCCTTTTTTTTAAAGTTTTCGAAAGGGGCAAGTGGATGATTGAAGTGACATTTTCAGTTTCCCAGAAATATGGGATCTTGGTTTTCCTTATTAGGATTTCTCTGCGTGAAAGCTCTAAATGGTGTTTTTAGGATTTTCGTAATAACAGGTTCTTTCTTTCGCTTTCGAGGTTTCAGAATGAGAGACCAATAATAATTGAGATTCTTAGGATTTTCAGAAAAGTAGAATTTTCCTTCCTTTCTTGAGGTTTTGGGGAGGAAGAGGGGTTGCAGGGCTGATTAAATACTTTAAATGAAATTTGTAAGATTTTCCGAAAAACAGGTTTGAGGTGGGGAAGCTTCTTGAGAATGTAGCCAACAGGGTTGTTAGAAAAGTGTTGGCTACTTAGATTTTTGTCCGTTTTGATAATGTCCGTGCTTGAAGCCTCTGAATTTCAGAATTTTCAAAAAATCAAAATTACCGGAAAAAACTTTTCTGGGCCGAACCATAGCTAACAAAGTTATTAAGGGGATCTTAACCTGAAGTTTTCCCTCTGAATAATGCAACTTTCATATTGCAATTGCAATTTGCATATCATTTTTTACCGTATACATTTTTCCCTCAGATAATATCAGATCTTGGATCTTACTGCAGAAATATGGACGTATTTATGCTACAAAGAAGAAAATCGATGAATTCAAAGGAAAATATGTGCACCAGAGTTGCATGGCTTATATTTCCTTTTAACCTAATTCATTTTCGTATAGTTCCTCTCATTATGAGCGCGTCTAATTTCTTTTGCTCAACTTTGCCAGCCAGACACATTCTAGATCATCTTGAACTTCCATAAATGTTAATGTACATGAAAGCTCTTTGGTACATTAGGATTACTTAACGAACAGATTTTAAGAAAAAAAATTTCATGAGGCAATAAAACATCTAAAAATAATTTTTCTGTATTGAAGGTCTCCCTCAAAAGTTAAATCGTGCTAAAATTCTAATTCATGACATGAAAATCTTGGAATTTTTTTGCATGGAGGATAAGCTTCAATATTGAAGTGACAGATCTTACTCTCAGAAAATCTGCCATCATTTACTCGGATCTGTTTTTCAGTGAAAAAAATCTTAAATAATGATGAACAGAGGTTTCTCCGTTGAATTATTTTATCAAAGATCATGACGATACAATGCAAAAGAGCAACTTTATTACGCAGCTGTTAGGCATTGTGAAGGTGGTTTAATGGCTTTTGAGCTCGTAATTTGCTCAGCATCTGCTACTTGTTTGTGACAGTTTGGCATGTATCGTAATAAAACCTCAAGTTTATTTCTCTTCCTCAAGCCGTGCACTCAAAAAAAGTTAGCGAAAAGAGCCCAACAAATTGGAGCTGAGGCATAATTTCGAAAATTCGTCTATTAGCGTGCGCTAATCCTAATTTGCATGGCGAGACTGTCGGGTGACGGGATTCGGATCAAACCAGTTCAGGCCCAATTTTAGAGAGGTAAAAGTGAGACCGCAACTTTTGATTCGAAAGAGCGCGTCGATTATAATGAGGGATACGGTCCGCAACACAGCGTAAGAACCTCAGCTGCCAAATTGTGAGAGCCAATGTTGTGCCAATGAGTGATCCGCAATATTTGCTCCGAATCAGGCAAGTTACAAGCCGTAAAATTCGCAAAAATTAAATATATCCGAAGATAATAAGGTTCTCTTCTCGGCTGAAGCTCATGACGTTTCATTTAAAGGGTAGATCATTTAAGAGTACCTAATACTCAATCGATACGTATACACTGCAGTGGATAAAATAATTGTGTCCGCAAACGCAGTGTATGAAAAAGGATGAGAGGCAAAAGTGAAGGGCTGGAAAATATTTTGGGCAGAAAATCCCTGACGACCCCCCCTTCCCCGAGTCCTCGCCTTAATTAAAATAGATTTGAGATAAAGTGCTCTGTCTTGCTAAAGGATACCGTTCACGATAGCGCATTTCAACTGGTTGTTTTTCATGCCCTTTCGTTTAAGTCTCCAGCCTTATGCAGCCCTTCAATGAACCTGTTCCGGGAACCCACTTCCGGTACCTGCAACTCAAGCACTCCGTTGACAATTATGATTGCCAGTGCTACCGTGCTATGGAAAACGCCGTATGAACATTCGGGAGTTGCCAAATTTCTTTACATTTAGTTTTCTTTGTAAGCATAGGCTGGAATATTGTTTTTAAAGTTTCAGATTTTTATATCTGATGGTTTATATAATCCGCTTAAAATTCGCATTTCCGTAAAAGAAATTCGGCATATTCTGAAGGCTTGTGTGGCGTTCTACCTCAACAAGGCACAGAAAGACGAATTTTATTATAAATAAAAATCGAGCCTACTTTTTTCTCACATCCTGTCAAATAGTTTGTCGAAAAGAGGACCGAAGACGAACTTTAAATGTCGCACCGGCAAACCTGTAAATATTACGCAAGCTGGTATGATAATATGCTTTTGTGATCGTTAGGCAACGCACTTAAAAGCTTAATACATCCGTTAGGCTTTATTGCTTTTGTGTTATTTTAATGTCGGATGAGTTACGGTTGGGGGCTTCCATTTTCCTCATGAAAATAAGACAACGTGGAAAACATGAATTGTGGGAGTCCGGCCCCACCCGGATTCGCGTTTGATCGCGGAGTGAAAATGCCTGGCTTTGCATTTCGGTTTTTTTTTTTTTTTTTTTTTTTTTTTTCAAAACGTTTTTCGGAATTTTCCTCGCTTATAATGGCAACTTGATAAGGATTTTATGTATAAGACGAGCATTCCGAGGGAGAATCGATGTGTAGGAAAGTAGTTCGAGTCATGTATAGTAAATTTTTGCTCGATCTGCACAACCACATATTCGGTTCTTTTTACTGTATTTTCACTACGGAAATTGACTCAATTTTTTGGTGCAGATTGAAAGCTTGGATCTCAAATTTTTCGAAAGAATTTTTATGTGAATCCAACAAACTGTGCTCCGTGTTATCAAAACTTCGTTCGATAGTACTGAACTCTTCCCTCCACGTCCGCAAGAACCATATGTCCAAACTGCAACTTCCTTAATTTCAAACTTGCGATGCAGTCTCGTGAAAGTTTTCAAAATTATACCAGTTTATTGAGGAGATTCCATACTGGTTTAAGCAGTGGCGTGGTGTGCTTTGCGATGTATCGGTCGCTCTATCATTTAAACCTATGGAAAAGTATCGGTAATTAGGGCGTTTGCAACGAACATCTTAGTAATCGATTCTTTAGCGTAGCTTCAAACGGGAAAATATCGATAATCGAACACTCACGACCCGTTACTGAGTTTAAGCGTTGGTACAGTAATGGAAACTGCTGTCTAAAACTTCATCTCAGCTCAAATTTTTTCTTGCAAGAGATCATTTTAAATTAAATTGTGCCGATCACATTGTCACTTAAAATCAAATACAGACTTTTGTTTTACTTTGGGAGGGAGTCGTTCACAAAAAGGGATGTGAATATTCTTCAGGAGTGAAAATTACAAAATTTTAGTCGGCTCATACCAACGTTTCCAAATTTGCATGTACTACTGAAATTCACTTTTTATAAATGTAGAGCATTTCTGGTTCACTCAAGAATATCAACGCCGAAGATACGGTCTTTACAGGTTGTAAATAAACTACCCACAGCTAAGTCTGTTTCGCTTTTTTTTATGACCAGTCGTTTAAATCTCCGGACGCGTCAAGGCAACTTAGAGAACTGAGCTATATCAGCGCAGCTCTTTTACTCCGTGTTAAATACGATTAAGATCAGCAGGGCATTAGTCGGATGACAGGAATAGGTGCACAAAAATACGCTTTATAAAACGTCATCACATTAGCTCATTTCAGTCAATGTATCATTGACTGAAATCATTGACGAAAAAAATTGTCACTATCAACGTATCGTTGATAGTGACACTTTTTTTCTCCGCAAGATTTTTTATTGATACGGAGGTCATTGTGATTTTCAAGTGGTATTTTTCCTCCTCTAAAATTGAAACTGAGGACTGTAAAAAACTATAATTCTGCGTAAATAGACAATTTTATTAAAATCAGTATAATTTAGGTCGACATTCTGGTGAAATTCGACGACTGTTTATGAGTTGTTCCATAAGTTTACTATAAAACGTTGCACAATCCAACCATCGCACTTAAAATAGATTTGAAACAGCTGAGGCATTTGTAGCTTAAAAGGAGTTTGTTCCAAAATTAATGTAATGAAATGTTGATGAAATACCTCCAAAAAAATATTCGAACTGCTTCCCAGGGATCACTAAAAATTCACTGGCAGAATTCGCGGATGAAAAAGTTTCGGTGAATCATACGAGTAAATTAAACCGCCCGGGTCTGAGCCGTAATCTATCGTGCTAAAGAAGAGCGCCGTATCAGCCATCAGGCGTTGCCAAAGTTCCTTGGATAAATCACAAATTTTTGGGAGAATCAGGGAATATTTGTC